TTTCCCCTTCTTCACTGTCAGAGTCACTTTCCGTGCCGTGCGGCTCCTCGGAAATGATGCGAAAGCTTGAACAACAGTGCCTGCAGACACGTTAGCCCAAGCATCTGCAATCCATTTGCAAACTGTGGCGTAACTTGCCCAGCGCTGCCTTCTACTTTTCGCAAAAGGCTCGCCCCACTCGTTCTTTGCTCGATGATCCACCGCTCGAGTCTTTCCTCCAACTCGGGCCACCTTGCCTTATGTCCGCAGAAACTCAGCTGCGTCTTCTTCACCTGTTGGAGTTCGTTTTCCATCTTCCTCCACTTGTGAACAATCGATTCATTAATCTTGAATGCTCTCGCGGCTGCTCGATTTCCATGTTCCTCAGCCTTCAGTTTAAACTGTGCTTCATAGGCGTGTCTCTTTGCCATTTTTAGGGTTTTTAAGACAACAATGTTGCATAAAAAAAAATGTCTGCATAAAGCACATACCTGTTCTTTTATACACAATCCATGCCCACACTTCCCCCTTTAACGTTCTCATGGTGGTCTCAACAACGTCAGCAGTAACAGCACACATAGGGCACACCGCACATTTTGAGGGAAAAAAAAGACGTTTATATGCACCTTATAGTCGCGAAAATACAGTAATATTGTAATAGCGATTTCTACAGTCACTGATATGTCAGCTCTGCTCTGTTCTGACTCCACAAATGGAAAACGATTTCTATGTAATTATAAATAGTAATTTGTAAGGCATGCAAACATAAAAATTTAAACTTTCAGTTCATAGGTTATAATAGATAACATATGTTTGGATAATATATTTAATTTATTTTCAGTAAACCCTTGTAATTATTACATACTGTAACTTCTAGCCCACTTAAAACTAAATAATCTGCATAGTCAGCCTAATCTGACTTTTGTCAACCAGATGCACCTAAAACCTAACCTCTAATAACAGAGCCCACTAATATTTTGTGCTTATTTCGCTAAAAAAAAATAATAGAAGTTATTTTGTTGCTTCTTTTTTTAACAAACCTTTACAGTTTTTCAACTTATGGCATATTAAAATTATGAGTCCTAAGCCCCTTTAAAATATTTTTGAATTATCATTTCACTTTCAATGTTGGTAAGGTTGTATCTGAAAATACAGGATGTCTGTTTTGTGACTGTGATGCGCTACACACTAACCAGAGAGCAATGTTGCAGCAGCTTTATTAAGGTAATTAGTGGAGTTCTCACACCTCAGCAGATCTTTGAGCTTTGTTCCTTTACAGCTGGTGAAATTGTGTTAGAAACTTTAAATGTATCCATGCACTTCAGACGGAATCTTAATTTTTATTCAGACTATTTAATCCTTATGCTTCACATAAATTCAGTGATACCTTTGAGGCCTTTTTTCAGTCTCTCAAAACCTTTTATTAACTCTCTCCTGTAAAATCATCCAGAACTTATCCTTTCAATCTGTTTTTGTTTGTTTTTTTCAGGCATAATCCGCACCGCCTTGCCAAACATGGACCGTGAGGCACGTCAGGAATATGATGTTGTCATCCAGGCAAAAGATATGGGCGGTCACATGGGAGGCCTGTCAGGAACCACTGAGGTCAAAATCACCCTCACAGATGTTAATGACAACCCTCCAAAGTTCCCGCAAAGTAAGTTGCTTCTTTCAAATTATCCATGTAAGATTGAGTCTTTTAAGCTGTATCTCCACATTGAGTGACTCAGAGAAAAAAACTGCAATTAGAAAGTTTTATTGACACAAAGAAAAGCATTTGGTCCAGTAGATCTGCATGAGTAGGTAGATCTATGTTAGAGATGTCTTCCCCCCTGCCATTGATAATGGAATAGAGATTGAAGAATGAGGAGAAACTTGGTTGTGAAAGACATGGAGGAGTGTTGCTGTTCAGCTGGAATGGAAAGGCAACCTCGGATTTGGAGCTTTAAATGTAAAGTTTTAAAATATGGCTGCCTGAAGTGAGAACATGGAGCTGTGCTGATCGGCACAATCAGGATTGCATGAGGAGACAACTGGTGGGCAGGTAGAAGTCTTCTAGTTCAATTTACGCCTACTTTTATCCTAATTTAATACATTTTTAATTCCACTCTATGCTTTCATTCACAGAGAAGGCAGTTCCCTTTTAAAAGTTGTTGAAATCATGTATAGTCACAATCTTTAGCTCTATTAAGCATTGATGTTTTGCTATGTTATATTTCGTTACCTTATTTTTCAGTCTTTCGCCATCAGTTGCTCTTTTTTTCATTAATCTGTTTAGTTTTCCCCATCTGCATTCGACCATTTCTTAATTCGTAACACATTTTCTTTCTCCCTCTGTAACCAAGGAACTTCTGGTAAAGGTTTTGCAGAAAGACAGAAAGAGGGGAGGCGCAGGATTAGAAAATTTATATGTGAAGAACTTTATCAAGGTAGAAAAGAGAGGGACATGAGTCAAAGCATTTAGGAAAATGCATAACGGGGAGACGCAAAATAGAGACTGTCAAAGCAATACCTTTTTTTTAACAAGCAGTAAGCTCTTTCACTGTCGAGCAAAGTAAATTGGAAATCTTTTTTATATAATTTTCAAATACAGCAACCATTGTGTGATTATGTTAAATCTTAGTAGAAGATTTGACCTGGGATATATTTAACTGTTTGTAAATATTGTCCTGATCAATGTGTTCTGTCTTCTCCAATTTTCTATCTTTGACATTTGCTTCATTTGAAGTAGTAATACCTTTTTTTTTTTCTCAAGCGTGTCTTGTTTAGCTAATATAGCTCTATGAAGGGGTGTCCCTGATCTAGCTATACATTTTTTTTCTTTTCTAAAACATGACATGCAACAAAATGTTTGGTTCACAGTTTTTTCAAAAGCCAACTAATATGAATAGCACTTTCTGTTGACAAGTCAGAAATACAAGATGTTTTTGAAGTTCCCCCATGCATTAAAAAAGCAACAGCAGCTCAACCACCTGCAAGAACAGTCTCCACAGATGTTGAGAACGAGGACAGTGATAACTTATTCATCTGCCTGGTTGGCTTGAAAAGGGTATAAAAAGGACACAGTATAAAATGAAATAAGAAAGAAAAACAAAAGATGACAAAAACTAGAATAACAATGGCCCCCGACCAATCAGGTGGAACTTATCCGCGTATCTTGGTCTGTGCTTCAGCTGTGCAATCCTTTAGGCTAGGTTTTATTTAGATACTGTACCTTGAATAAGCTACACTGGTGTACTTTATTCATTAAAGTGACAGCTGAAAAGCAGTCATAATCCTTTAGCTCAGCTTGTCACCATCTCGGGGTTGTCATGATTGGTTTAAGTGATCTGACCCACATGCAGAGAACCACTCAGAGACCAAAGGAAAAAGCTTAACAGGTTTATTAAATGTAGAAGAATAACAGAAGTTTGATATGGAACTCAGTGGACTGGTGAACCGGAATAGAAAAGTCTGAAGGGGAGATCACAGTGATCAGTTCAGGGACCGTAGGAAATTTGACTAAAGGAATAGTACACCCAAAACATGATTAGCCTTCATTTTCTACTCACCCCCATGCTGA